AGTTAGAGAGCATAGATCTCTCTGGCAATAAATTGAGTGGGAGTATTCCAGATAGCATCAAGCAACTTTCTAAGTTAGAGAGCATAGATCTCTCTTACAATCAACTAAATGGGAGAATTCCATATAGCATCGAACAACTTTCTCAGTTAGAGAGCGTAGATCTTTCTCACAATCGATTGAGTGGGAGTATTCCATTTAGCATCAAGCAACTTTCTAAGTTAGAGAGCATAGATCTCTCTCGCAATCAACTCAGTGAAGTATTCCAGATAGCATCAAGCAACTTTCTAAATTAGAGAGCATAGATCTCTCTAGCAATCAATTGAGTGGGAGTATTCCAGATAGTATCGGACAACTTTCCCAGTTAGAGAGCATAGATCTTGGTGGCAATCAATGGAGTGGGAGTATTCCAAATAGCATCAATCAACTTTCTAAGTTAAAGAGCATAGATCTTGGTGACAATCAATTGAGTGGGAGTATTTTAGATAGTATCGTGCAACTTTCTAAGTTAGAGTGTTTATTTCTTTCTGGCAATCCATTGAATATGAGTATTCCATATAGCATCGGGCAGCTTTCTAAGTTAAAGTGTTTATATCTTTTTGTAAATCAACTGAGTGAGAGTATTCCAGATAGCATCGGATAGCTTTCTGAGTTAAGGAAGTTATCTCTTGTTAGCAATCAATTGAGTGGGAGTATTCCAGACAGTATTATGCAGCTTTCTAAGTTAATGTCTTTAGATCTTTCCAGCAATCAATTAAGTGGGAGTATTCCATATAGCATTGCGAAGCTTTCTGAGTTAAAGTTGTTAGATCTTTCTAACAATCAATTGAGTGGGAGCATTCCAGATAGCATCGGGCAACTATCTAAGTTAAAGGGGATACTTTTTTCAAGCAATCAATTGAGTGGGGGTATTCCATACAGCCTTAGGCAACTTTCCAAGTTAAGGACTATATATCTTTCTAGCAATCAATTGTGTGGGAGTATTCCAGATAGCATTAAGCAACTTGCTAAGTTAAAGAGCATAGATCTTTCCAATAATCAATTGGGAATAGGATTTCCCAAATGGCTTCTATTGCAAAATACAACAACCATGGTTGATCTCTCTAATGCTAGCATCTCAGGTCCTCTTCTAGAAAACATTGATCATATGATGCCAATGTTGCGAGAATTATATCTTAAAAATAACCTCATGAACGGTTCAATTCCACAGTCGCTATGCAATTCAAAATTTTTGGAAGCTCTTGATCTCTCAAACAATATGTTTTCCGGAAGTATTCCCAATTGTTGGAGAAAGAATCAATCATTCAATTTTATTGATCTATCTTCTAACAATCTCTTAGGTTTGTTTCCGAGCACAATGGGGCTGCTTTCTTATTTATTGGTACTGCACTTGAACAACAATAGTCTCAATGGGGAACTACATATGGCCTTGAAAAGCTGCACTTCTTTAATGGTTTTGGATTTGGGTGAAAATAAATTTTTCAGAAATTTAACAAGCATTGTAGGAGGCAAGATCAGCAACCATTCTTTAAAAATTCTTCAACTACGAAAAAATTCGGTTTCTAGTTATATTCCTTTAGAACTATGCTTTTTCTCTCGATTGCAAATTTTGGATCTTGCAGATAACAATTTGACAGGAAGGATTCCTCTTTGTTTTGGAAAGTTTCCAAAAATGGTGAATGCAACACAATTGATGAAACGCATTACTGATGATTATTGGTCTTGGGCACATTTGAAGGAGGTTGTGAAAGGAAGATACCTTGAGTATACAAGAAAAACCCTAGGACTCGAGAGCAGTATAGATCTTTCGAGTAACAATCTAATAGGATCCATACCAAAGGAGCTAATTTTCCTTAAGGATTTGCACATTTTGAATCTATCTTGGAATCATCTCTCAGGAAAGATCCCTGAGAAAATTGGACAAATGGAAAATTTGGAATCTCTTGATTTCTCCCAAAATGGCCTCTCAGGAACAATCCAAAATAGTATGTCAAGTTTAACCAAGTTAAGCCACCTCAACTTGTCCTACAACAACTTGTTAAGGCCAATTCCAACAGGCTATCAGCTCCAAACACTCGAAGATCCAACCATTTACGTCGGTAATCCTCAACTTTGTGGAGCTCCACTCTTGAAGAAATGCTCAAACGATGTGCTACCTCCACCAATTGACAACTTCAAGGACAACAATGAAGGTGCACTTACAAGAATGTGGTTTTACATCGTCGTGATGTTAGGCTTTGTAATTGGATTTTGGGGAGTCATGGGAACTCTGATTTTTGTAAAAACTTGGAGATATGCTTATTTTCGATGGGTGGATGATGTCCAACATTGGATCCTTATGGTTATAACATTAAAGGTGGCAAGAGTTAAGAAGATGTTCAATGGCAACCCAGATGATCAATGAGTAATATATGAAGTATGTTGTTGTTGCTACATTTATTACTAAACCAGTTCCATAACCAGTGTTGCAAGGTATGGTGTCAAGTCCAACTTTGAATGGCCAAACATTGCATCGACGAATTTTAAATGAACACAAAAGTATTGGGGTTTGTAAAGTTTTCAATAATATAACATATGCTGTAGTTTTAAACGTTTTACAAAATAAAAATTCATAAATTCATATAGAAACTAGTGAATTCTGTGCAAGGCTATCAGATTCCATGGATTTCTATCTTATCAATTTTGTTAATAGAAGAAGAGAGAGAGAGAGAGAGAGAGAGAGAGAGAGAGAAGGAGCAAGAGATGAAAGAATGAGATAGGAAGAATGGCTTAGCTAAGTATACAATGATAGCCAAAACAAAGTCCTCATATATTCATGGTCAAAGTTTGGAACTTTCAATCACACACAATTAAATCGGTCAATTGAGTATCCAATATAATGCATTTCTTACATAAAATTCCCTTGTCATCAATATTTCATAAAAAAACATTTTCACATTGCATAAGGCATATCATCAAAAGACTCATAAAACACTGTCAAGGCTAAATAGTGAAGTCTGTCATGTTAGTTTAACCCTGAATAGATAATTGATTTCTACAACAAAAAATGAAACACAATTAATCATTTGTTGTTTTTAATTTTATGTCACCACTCTTGATAGACAAAAGGCCTAAAAGTTGAAGAACACAATCCAAAAGAACCTAGATAAACTACAAGAATAAAAAGAATATCCACAAAAGGATAGGGATTAATACCTCCAACTACAGCCTTAGTACTTAGTGTTCCCTTTCTCCCAACAAACCATCTTCGAATAAAGCCACTAAAAAAGAGTGCATCTAAGTGAGAAATATATATAGATAATTATGGTCTTTTTCATTTGGAAGATGATGTTGGTATATTTTGTATTATTAAAATAAAATATAAGCATGGAGTTTTTGTGACCAAACCTTGAGTCTTCTTCATCCTACACACTCATGAAGGTGCAAATGCCACCACAGTTGCTATGACATGACTAACAAGTTTTCAACCTACAAAAGAAATTATATTAAGAAAATTATGCAACTAAAGGTACAGAAAACCTGTGAGATAAGATTGTAGGTCTCCATCATGTACATGGTAACATAATACATGTGTAGACAATTTGTGTAACAAATCCTACTTCTTAGACAATATTTCCAAAGTAAACAACTCTCACTTCATATTTTTATTGCCATTCCCATCTATACTACTTATAGAAGAGTTTGAGATTTTAAGTTCAGAAATCTTAAATTCAAATTTTTGGAACAGACTAAGAGGGTGAAAAGTGATTTAGAAAATGAGAAATAATTATCCCCTTTTGTATAAAAGGGGAATATGAAGAAGAAGAAAACCTCGTCTTTTGCTTAGTTAGTTCATCGTGGTTTTCTTCCTGCAAAGAAAGTGACTAGCTCTTTTAGTTTATGTCATGCTTGTCAATTAGGCAAACATATTCGTCTGCCATTTCAAGATTCTTCATCTGTTACTTTGAAACCCCTTTTCAATTAGTTCATTCTAATGTATGGACCTCTCCATTACATTCTTTTAAAGGTTTTAAATATTATCTTTTATTTTTGGATGATTATAGTCATTATTTGTGGGTGTATCCCTTACAATCTAAATCTGAAGTTTTCTCTCATTTTCTTCAATTTTTTGCTTATGTCTCTGCTCAATTTGGTGCTCAAATTCAGGCTCTCCAATGTGATAATGGCAAGGAATTTGATAACATGCAATTTTCTTTATATTTTCAAAAACATGGCATTCAATTGCGTTCTTCTTGTCCCTTGACTCCCCAACAAAATGGGAAAGCCAAGCGTATGAATAGAACAATTGCTAATATGCTTCGTTCTCTTCTTTTTTGAGCAAAATTACTTGGAAAATTTTGGGTGGAAGCATTACATGTTGCTATTCACCTCCTTAATATTTTACCTACTTCCAAGTTACATTTTAAGACACCTCATGCGGT